CCCGCCACTGAATCCCGAGACAAATGTAGTTGCTGAAGCTCTTACCTTCTGCCTGGTCTAAAATAAGATTAGTGGAGTGCTGTGTAACTGAACCAAGCACCCAATGCTGTGTGGCCGGGCTCAGAAAGAGAGTGACAGATGGCAGGCTTTGAGTACTAATCAGATTTCACATTCAGGATCCACAGCGGAAGAAGCACCAGCTACTCCTAGAAGAGAGAAAGTGCGTGTTCCCCGAGTGAACAGAAAGCACTGTGACCATTGGTTTTGTCATTCAGAGAGTTCTTAAGCGCCTGGGAAGGAGTCCTGGTGGGACAGTGGGTCACATGTTGGACCGCTTACTGCACGGTCAGAAATCCGAAACCCACCAGCCACTCCAAGGGAGAAAGACGAGACTATCTGCGCCCATCAAGACTTCGTCTCGGAGATCCACGGGCAGTCCTGCCCTGCAGTCTCTGAATCAGGGAGTTTGGTGCGGTGGTGAAAACCTGGCGGGACAGGCGCATTCCCGCCAGTTTCTCTGCAGCCTTGGCGACTCCCTGACATGCCTCACACTTGAGGGGCTGGGGTCCCCGTGAGCACGGCTTATCACTTTAAACTTAAGCCTATGGAGATGTCTTGCTCCGCTGCCTCCTTTTGACTGTCTTATTGATTTCCATTTAGCAAAGAAGCCATTTGTGCCTTTATTTTTGCTCTGATCCTTCTAGCTCCATTTCCTGCCCTCAGTCATATCCAGGGACCATAAAACATGAGTGTGGCCTGTCGGGTGGAGGCAGAGCTGTGCCTGTCACAGCGCGCGGTGCTGCCAGGCTGCACTTATGATTACACTCAGCTGGAACGCTGACTGGGGCACCAGGCACCAGGAGCCTTGTCAGGCAAGTTTAGCAGCCTTTCTGCAGCGGGCTGTAAGCACAAAAGGAGGATTCTTTGTATCTCATGTCCAGTCTTGTTTTTTTCACTTTTAATTCTCAGGGTCCCTAGTGAAGGTTACTGTAATACACTGGACCAGGCGTTGATGTGCTAATATGGAGATTGCAACGTCTAAAGTTGCTACTAGTGAGGAAAGAGGCTAGTGACAGACTCATTTATTGTGATTGCAAGTTGCCACCTGAGTCGATTGACATGTGGTGACCCCACGTGTGCAGAGTGGAAGTGTTCTGCAGGGTTCTCAAGGGCATGGCCTCTCGGAAGCAGATCACCAGGCTGGTTTCAACCGCTGAGATGGCAGTCACGTGCCTCACCCTTTGTTCACCCAGATGCTGCAGGAGCAGGTGGTTATTGCCAAGTGGCAGGGGATGAGCTAAGTGTACTGTTCTTTTTTTTAATATATATATTTTAAGTTTTAATCATTTTCTTGGGGGCTCTTACAGCTCAAGTGTACTGTTCTTGATGCTTTTATGTTTCCCAAGACTTCTACAATAGCAATTATGTTTCCAGTAACTGAAAAACAAAACAAAACAAAAGCCAAACTCATTGCTGTCAAGTCCATTTCTACTCGAGGTCAGCCTGTGCTTTCCAGGGAAGAACTGCTCCCTGGATTTTCTTGACTGCAATTATTACCATCTCAGAAACCCACAGGGACAGTTGTGCCCTGTCTTACAGGGCCACAGCGAGTTGGCAGTGAGTTTGGTTTGGTTGTGTAATGGTTATGGAAGCAGAAGGTTGGACCCAGGGTTTGGACTAGCAGTTTACACCTGACTGCTAAAGGTTGGCGGTTCAAGGTTGGGGTCCAACCTTGAACCACCAACCTTTAGCAGTCAGGTGTAAACTGCTAGTGCCACCCAGGGACCTTATGAAATGTACCCCCTCCCCCACCCCAGGGTTTTGGGAAACTCACCCTGGGAGTTTCTGAGAATATAACTCTTTTTGAGAGTAGAAAGCCTCATCTTTCTCCCATGGAGCAAGATACTCTTTATAACTGGTTCTCTTACTGTGATTTTAGAAGTTCAGGTAATACCTATTCCAAACCAAAAACTCACTACCACCAAGTAGCTTCTGCCTCATAGCAACCTCCATAGGACTACAGGTTGTAAATCTTTGTGGGAGCAGAGAGCCGCATCTTTCCTCCTGGTGCATTTGAACTGCTGACCTTGTGATTAGCAGCCCGGTGCATGACCCACTATGCCAACTGGAGCTCCTTGGCACTTGTTAAAAATGGGACCTTGAAAGTGGTGGGTTATTCACACTTAAATGGAAGCCTACTGTTAACAGTCAGCAGGTTGTTAAAATATTTGCCCCT